ACTCAAAAACACTTAACTAACTAGGAGGGATAATGTTTGTTTTAACATCGAGGCAACTGAATACCTGAAATGAGAAGGATGTGGGGAGACCAGCTGAAACCTGTATAAAGTGATTGTGAAACTCATTTCTTTCAGTTTGGGCTGTGTTGATCTCCTTTTCTGATTATGTTCTAATCAGCCATGCTAAATCCTTTCTGGAACATAACAGGATTTAAGAAAACAAACCTACCTATTAATTTCAATTGTTGGTCCTTTCATATGCCTTGTAGGCCAATGTTTAAGTGTCCATCAACGGATGAATGGAGAAACAAATTAGGTTTGGTATACCTAACAATGGAATCTTATTCTGCCATAAAGAGAAATAAAGTTCTGATAAATGTAATGGCATGGATGAACCTTGAAAATATTACGCCAAGTGAAATAAATCTGACCCAAAAGGACAAATATATTAAATCACTTTTTTTTTTTTACCTGAAAATATTGCCTTTATTATGATAAGCTTTTTTTTTTTTAAGGTTTTTATTGTGGATTGAGTGAAAGTTTTCAGGGCACATCATCGGTTTCACATTCAAACATTCATATACCGTGTTTCATTACATTGATTATAATCCCCTCCACATACCAACAGTTAACAGAGTTTCTCTCTATCCTCTTTAGCTTTTTTGGGGGGGGAAACTTTGCCTTTTTGGAATTTACAGTCTCGGCTTTTAGGGAAGGTTTTTATATTTATCTGTGGGTATCCAGGGCTCATGTATGGAATTACTAACCAGCATAACTGAATAATCAGATAAGGGACATTTTGCTATGTCTGCTAGGTGGCTAAAGTCTGATCCTCAGAGCCTATGGTTTGGACGGTCAGCAACGCTTGGGCCCACCCAACTGCCAACTTTTTGATTAGCAGCTGTTACACCACCAGCTCTCCTTTTTGAGACAGTAGAGTTAATGAATGGGTATTGTTTATGGTTCTGAAATAAGCAAATGTATGTTTCTGCCCATGAAACATATTTTTCACCCCCTTTCTCTGGGGTTAACCAATAGGAGTGGTTCCAAATCGAGTTATGGGATGGAGTATATATTTAGGAAGACTTGAGCCTCTTACATAGCTGCTAACATTGTGACTTAGGGGCTGTGGATACCTTCACCCTCATCCACCATGAGCTGGAAATCTCCACCAACCCAGCTCAGTATGCCATGATACTGGACATCGTCAACAACCTGCTGCTCCATGTGGAACCCAAACGGAAGGTTGGTTTGGGCCCTTATGCTAGTCTGCCTCAGGAATCCCAGACTTAGCACTTTATTTGGGCACCAGTAAGAAAAGCCAAGTTTCCAAGTTAAATAGGGCCTTGTTGGTACATCCTTTATTAGTTAGCAGTGGTTTGTAGTTCCCTTTCTCTAGGAAAGGTCTGAGTGTCCTTGAGATTGTAGAGCTGGTTCACTTGATTATTGTTTTGAGGGAGCACATCACTATTTAGGTACCTTAACACTTCTAAAAACAGTAATCATGCCCCACGTTTGTCTCCATACCTACCCTGTGGGACTGACTTGTAAAATCCACACTGCTAAATCTTTTGCATTGACCTACCCCTCTGGTTACTTAGTGAGTAACAGATAAAGGTTAGTTTTCCAAAGGAGATCCCATTTCTTGCTCATTCTTCTTTTTCCTTTATTACAGTCTATTTTAAAATCTTGTTCATTTCCCTTGCCTTTCTTTTAGGAGCACAGTGAGAAGAAACAGAGGGTCAGGTTCCAGCTTGAGATCTCTAGCAATCCGGAGGAGCAGCGCAGCAGTATATTACACCTGCAGGAAGCTGTGCGACAACATGTGGCTCATATACGGCAGTTGGAGAAGCAGATGTATTCTATCATGAAGGTAATCACCCTGGGAAGTCTGAGGACAGGGAGATCTCTTAGGATAAGTGGAATCGCCTCAATTTCTTCTATTTTGGCTTCCTAGTCTTTGCAAGATGACAGCAAGAATGAAAACCTGCTTGACCTGAACCAAAAGCTTCAACTGCAGCTAAACCAGGAGAAGGCCAGTCTACAGCTGGAAAGTGAAGAGCTTAATATTCTCATCAGGTGCCCCAGCATTCTTTCCCTGCCCTTTTCCTTACCTGCTTACATTCTGACAGTCTGTATGCCACATATGCATTATCAAAGGCTGATCTAGGAGTAGATTTAGGTACTTTTTCTCAAATGAGCCTTTGCTGGACATGGCCAAAGAGGTTGAGAACAGGAGAGCCCTTCCTTTGGATCCTTGATAGGAGGATGCGTCTTGAGAAAAGCTCTGATGAGAGAAAAATGGGTAGATTACTTTTTTTTTTTCTCTTTACTTTTGTGGCTTTGATACTTTGTATCTGAACTGAAAATAATACCTTAAAATTAGAGGTATAATCATAGGGGTTATTAGTGGGAAGAGACTACTTTATAAAGAAGCTATAAGACTAAAAGATGGGATTTATACTTCCATAACCTAAGTTGTCAGAGAGCAGTGAATCCAATGAAGAAAATTTATGGAATAACTATCCCTAGGATAGGTCATATCTGAGTTTATCTTTTGTGTCATTCTAGAGCATTCTACTCTATCCTCAACCTATATGCAATTTCCCTTATTGGCTTTGGCCCTTGTTTTAGTTTTGTAAGGCTGCCATAATAAATTACCACAGATTGGATGATTTTTAAGTAACAGAAATACATTCCCTCACAGTTTTGGAGGCTAGAATTCTGAAATCAAGGTGTTGGCCAGCTGGTTTGTTCTGAAGACTCTGAGGGAGAATCTATTCTATGCCTCTTCTATCTTTTTTTTTCGGTGGTTGTTGGCAATCCTTGGCATTCCTTGGCTTGTAGAATCACCACTGCTTTTGTCTTTACATATGATGGGGCTTGAAAAACTGTTGGAAAATTTTTATCATCTCAATTTTTCCAACTTTTTGCAGACCTCCGATATAGTCTCCCTGTGTATCTATGTTTAAATTCCCTTCTTTTTATGTTACTCAGATTGACTTTAGGTCCCACCTAATATGACCTCATCTTGATTATATATGTAAAAAACACCATTTCCAAATAAGATCACACTCACAGATATGGGGAGTTACGACTTTACAAATCTTTTTTAGGGAAACAGTTCAACCCATAAGAGCACTCCTGTCCATTTAACAGGTGTTTTAAGGATTTCCAATTGCAGCGAGCCAATAAGATGGAGTTACGAAAGCAGCAAGAGGATGTGAGTGTGGTCCGTCGCACTGAGTTCTATTTTGCTCAGGCACGGTGGCGCCTCACAGAGGAAGATGGACAGCTTGGAATTGCGGAACTGGAGCTGCAGCGGTTCCTCTACAGCAAGGTATTCACTATATACAATCACACAAATGTAGCTGTATTGAGAGGTACTGGCCTATTTCAGAAGTCCAATTCACAGAAAGGAATAAATATGAAGGAGTTAATTATTATGCTTATTAATAATGCTCATGATTAGAAACATGAGCAGAGTTCCCCTTTGACATATATGTATGTAATATTAAATAATGACAAAGATACAGATAAGTTTGATTAAATGCTTTGTTCGTTAAGTAAGATTATCTCTAGTGTTGTCGCACAGAGAAAGTTGTCTTCTAAGTCCAGCTTTTCTATAGCTAGAGCATACATGGTTTTGTGTACCATCCAATTGATTTTGACTCATAGTGACCAGATTATCAGGTCTTTTCTCTCAAGGTGTGATTGGTGGGTTTGAACATTAACTTTTGTGTTAGCAGCAAAGTGCCTAACCATTGTGCCACCATGTTCCGTAGAGCTTAAATAGAACCATTCTAGTACTGGTATGCAGTTTTCCTGCAAGTACTTATTGGCATGGAGAAGGGAGGACATTATTGTTTTCCACTTCAGGAGACATTAGGAAATGAGTGAGAGCATTTCTGAATACTACCCTGACTGGGCAGTACTTCTGGCTTTTAATGCCTTGGCCAGTAATGTCACATAAGAAACACTGGATGTGAAGGTGTGTATTGTTTGCAAGGAGTCCTGGTGTGGCGCTGTGGGTTAATGCACCAGACTGCAAAGCCGTTTGAACTGCAAGGTTGGCAGTTCAAGCTCACCAGCTGCTCTTCGGAAACTCTATACAGGGTTGCTATGTGTCGGAACCGACTCGACGGCATTTCACAACAACATTGTAAGGAGCTCTGGTAGCATAGTGGGTATGAATCAGGCTGCTAACCTCAAGGTCGGCAGTTTGAAACTACCAGCTGTTCTGCGGGAGAAAGATGAGGCTTTCTGCTCCTGTAAAGATTTACAGCCTCGAAAACCCTGTGCAGGGTCACTGTGAGTCGGAACCGACTCCATGGTAGTTAACAATGACAACAATATTTGTTTGTATGAGATGGAGAGAGACATCAAGAATTGGGTACATGGAAAATTTGAAAGCAAACAGTCTATGTGGTGATTTTCTAGGCAGTTCCTGAGAAAAGCTTATTATAGTGGAAGGGGACAAATCTGTCTTTGTAGGTGAATAAGTCTGATGATACAGCAGAACATCTTCTGGAGCTGGGCTGGTTTACTATGAACAACCTTCTCCCCAATGCTGTCTATAAGGTAAGTCTTATTTCCCCATTCTTAACCCATTCACCATGCTTCCTAGCACAGAGCATTTATAATATCATGTCAACATAGACCCACTGTGGAAAACAATGAGGTGATCTGAGATGGTGAAGCCTTGCCCATCTTAGCAAGACCATTGCCTCTCAGTCTGCAAAAGATATGTGGATTGACTTAATGGCAGAAAGACATTGGATTAGTTTGTTTACTCTGTATCCTGCAGGTAGTACTGCGACCCCAGAGCCCCTGCCAGTCTGGGCGACAGCTAGCCCTCCGCCTCTTCAGCAAAGTCCGGCCCCCTGTTGGGGGTATCTCTGTTAAAGAGCACTTTGAGGTTAGTAATCAGTCTCTGTGGGACCCCAGAGAAAAGAGCAGTTATGTTATAACTATATGTTATAAGGGCTACATTAGGGTAGGTAAGCTAAGGGATAGTGTCTAAACTTAATTACTTCTCTGACCTCTTTTCCTGGTAGGTAAATGTAGTACCTCTCACCATCCAGCTGACGCACCAGTTCTTCCATAGAATGATGGGCTTTTTCTTTCCTGGCCGAAGCATGGAGGATGATGAGGTTGGTGATGAAGAGGATAAGTCCAAACTAGTGACTACTGGTGAGAACCTTTGTGATGGAACTCAGAATGGGATGGCACCATCAGAGGTAGCTGTAGCTTCAGAGGGGATGACAGCTGGTGTGCTTGCTTTTTCATAGGAATACCAGTGGTGAAACCTCGGCAGCTGATTGCAACAGATGACGCAGTACCTTTGGGCTCTGGAAAGGGAGTGGCACAGGGCTTAAATCGGAGCTCTGGGGTCAGAAGGTCATTTCGCAAAGTACCTGAGGTACCAGACATAACCCCTAGTGATAAAACAGTGGGTGAGATATGAGGCACTATTTGGCAAGCTGGGAGTTTGCTTCTTTTTAACCTATTTGAGGGGTGAAAAGAGTGGAATGTTTGGGAATCTTGTTTCTTCCTTTTGATTATTTTAGGGGTTCACACTCATTTCCTGCCTTTCTTAGCATCCTGTAGATGATATTGACAAGATGAAAGAGCGAGCTGCCATGAACAACTCCTTCATCTACATAAAAATTCCACAGGTTCCACTGTGTGTTAGTTACAAGGTCTGCACCTTTCCAGCACTTTCTAGAACAGGGTGGAAAGGGGGCCAGATAAGATCACTTAGGTAGGGAAACAGCTGGGTTAATGTGAAGCTGGACTATGGGTGGTAAATCTGGGGTTCCCTCTCTGCTACTTAGAAGTCAGTACCATTACTGAACTGAGTTAAGGAGAAATCAGTATTAGTAGGTTTCTGTTTCAAGAATGTACTCCACTGCCCCCAATACTGGCTTGGACTGAAAATGGCAGCTAATATATATCCCCCCTTTTCCTTCTTCCTCTTGTAGGGTGAGAAGAACAGTGTTGACTGGGGTGACCTGAACCTGGTGCTGCCCTGTTTAGAGTACCATAACAACACATGGACATGGCTAGACTTTGCCATGGCTGTCAAGAGGGACAGCCGCAAGGCCCTGGTTGCCCAGGTATCCCACCAGAGCTCATGGCTGTTTGTTTAGCAAGGGCTGGCAAAATAGATCCTCTGCTCAGGAGTCATTATTTTAGGATATACTAGCAAAGGCCTGAGACAGGGGTTAGGTCAATGAAGTGATTTCTATCCCTGTGCTCTCCATGACTTCATCTAGTTGATTAAATTGAATGTTTACTATTTCACATGGTAACTACTGCTGGTTTTAGGGAACTAAGGGCTGACATACCTCAGGTTTAGGACAAGTTCTATTTAGACTGTAAGCTTCTTGAAAGCAGAAACTCTTATATCATTGAATTACTCTATTGTGCGTTACATATAAGCGTAATAAATCTTTCTTGACTTTATTAATTTTGTTTTGCTCTGGCTGGCCCACTAATGTTTACCTTCCCCTTTTACTCCTTTCTAACCTGCCAGGTAATCAAAGAGAAGCTAAGACTGAAGCCTGCACCAGGGTTGGAGGTCCGGGGAAAACTAGAAACTAAATCGGATCTGAACATGCAACAGCAGAAAGAGGAGGAGAAAGCCCGGCTCCTCATCGGTTTAAGTCTGGGTGACAAGAACCCTGGCAAGAAGTCCATCTTTGGCAGGCGCAAGTGATCTGGCAATCCAAGAGTGGCTGCAGTATAGGATCTGACTCTGGCTTAGGCCCTAGGAACTTGAGAAGAAGGAGGGGCTTCCCTTCATACATCATGATTGGTTGGGACCAAGGGCATACTGAGGACTGTGTAGAGAGGCACCACTCTTTAGTAGCTGGCTTGTTCTTGCAGGGCATGGTGGACGATAATGCTGAGTTATATCCCACGCTGAACAGCAGGCCCAAGGCCAGAGAGGCAACAAGAGAACAAGACCTAGGGAATGATCCCAGGGCTAGGATCCTGTTCTCTTGGGTCAATTGAAAAGGTGGAGGGACAGTCATGATCAAGTGTGACAAATTTTTATATATATATAAAAAAAAAAAAATATATATATATATATATATATATAAATATATATATTTCTAAGTGTAACTGTTTTATGTGCCAGAAAGCTGAGGGGACGAGGCTGATTCTCTGACCTTCACTTTACTGCCTGTTGAAAGAACTGTTAGTGTGCTGGGGGGAATCACTCCCTTCCCAATCTGTGTGCCAAGCTCACTGGGGAGGATGGCAGTGGGAGCCAGGGCTGGCCATGGTCCCCTACTTTTCCCTTTGGGGTATGCCCTGGAAAATGGTAACAAACTGATTTAAAGAGAAAAAAAATTTTTAATTTGATACTGTTTTTTTATCTTTGAATGTGTTGAGTACATGGGTTCTAACCATCTCTGCCCTTCCCTTCTCATTAACCCAACACATCATGTAGCTGTCACTTTTATGAGTGGCTTCTTCCTGCTTGTGGCCTGAAGCTTTATCACAGACACTGTACCGCCCTGGAGTGACCCTGGCCCCATGCTGATGAGTCTCTACTTTAGCTCCGACTATAAGCCTATTAGTAGTCAGAAGGAATATAATTTGCAGAAAATGTTTAGATTTGGCTGTGTCACCCGCATCTCTAACCATGATAATAGCAAGGAAGAGGCAGGGCTCGTGTAATGCAGCATGGGGGGAGGAACTGCTTATATAACTAGGACAACAGCTTTAGTGGGAGGAAAGCGGAGGCAGATGCTGGGGATGGGAGCAGTGAGCTGTTGGCAGGGGCAACATATCCAGGTGGCTGCTCCCCACAAGGTAGGCTGTAGGGCTCTTGCACCCTGTTGAGGGTAGAAGACAGCATGGGAAGTGACCAGACAGTTGCGTTCCCCAGTGTGGGTGGGAGGTTGCTATTCTGTGAAAGCATTCTGGACCCACACTGAGGATTATAGGCTGCGTCCCGGATGTCTCAGAGAAAATGTCTAATGATTCTTTTTCTGGATGATATGCACTGCATCCAGGAAATTCAGACCTTGGTCCCTAGCAAGGGTTGCAGCAATTTTGCTTGGTATTCAAAAGTGTACTGCTAAGGTTGGGGTTTATGGGAGGGAGTGCTTATTAAGATGGGCAGAGCCTTTAATCCCTGGGTGCAGAAGGTTTAGTGGTTCCCTTGGTTCTCAGCAGGGTGGCAACATTCAGGGCCCCTGGACCCGAGGCTGGAAGAGCCTCTGGTCAGGTATGAGGACCACCAAGTCAGGTCTGGAAGAACCATGGGGACTACGGGGGCATCAGTGCCTGCACCAGAAGCCCCTGGAGCCAGCCCTGCCAGTAGAGAAGCCTCTGTCTGACTGGCCTGTGCCTCAGTTCATCAATTTCTTTCTGTCCAAGTTTCCCATTAGGCCCCTTAGTGGGCATCAGCAACTGAAGGTAAGCTCAGTGGAATCTCTGGAAGGGGCCTCAGTCTTGGGGAGAAAACTAGAAACTTGCCCTGTTCTCCATTTCTCTGTACAGATTTCAGGTGTTGTGGCCAAAGGCTCCTTTGGAACTGTCCTCAAGGTGTTAGACTGTGGCCAGAAAGCTCTATTTTCAGTGAAGGTAGGAGCCTAAGTGTCTTCCATGCTATTCTCTAGTCCTTGCCTCTGATCTTGGTTCTAGAGATGATGGGTAAGCAATTCAATAGCATGTCACTCCCCTCCTTTATAGGTGGTATCCAAGGTAAAGGTCCTACAGAGAGACACACTGAGACAATGCAAAGAAACGGTTAGCATTCAGGTATACACAGGGACCTGGAAAGGATCCTAGGAAGAACTAAAACATCTTAGCCAACTTTCTTCTTGTTATGCCTTACCCTTTTGTTTCTCACCTAATTCAACACCAAAGCAGATTCTAAGAAAAGTAGCTATCTGCACAAGGTCTGCTAGAGAAATCTCTCTAGCATGTCCCCAGTATAACCTTTAGTATTTTGCTGATTTTAGCATTACCAGGCAGTTGGTCCCAATGGTTAAGTTCCTCTGACCTGAGTGGTTAGGTAGCTGCTCCCTTTGTGCCCAGCTAGGTATAATCTAACTTTTGTGCCACCTTGAATAGTGATCCTATTCTTCTCTTAATACCCTTCTTTTTTTTGTCCCTAGCAACAGATCAACCATCCTTTTGTACAGTTTTGGGGATAGTTTTGGCAGGGAAAACAGCACTTCTTTATTATCCCCAAGGGCCTTCTACTCTAACTCCTACCTGGGATTATCCATATCTTTGACTTTTTCTACCTTTACTTTGTTCATAGTACCCCCCTATCCCAGAAGGAAAGGGAATAGTGGGTGGTACCAATGTGAGCATGAGAATTACAAAGCCTTGAGGTCAGACTCCTGGTACTTTTCAGTGTGCAGCTACTGCAGCACAGATTTGTGCTCCCTCTGGCCCACTGCTGGCTGCTTTGCTGAGGCTTCCATCTCTCTCTTTGCTGCTGAGCTGGTCCTGGTGCTGTGTAAGTGTAATAGGAATGGGAATCGAAATGGAGAGGGAATAATCTAGTTGGAGGGTGGGGAGAGGGTCAGAGGAGAAAAATTAACTCCAGAGTTCAAAGACTAGAGATGGAGGGGACTGCTAGTGACACTAAAAAGGACAGGAAAGCTTTAGCACAACCTATGTTTGCTGTCATCCACAGGTTATCTTCATGACTTCGGCATCATCCATGGAGATGTGAAGGTACAGTTGAATGCTTTTCCCTTAAGAGGTTCCAGTAGGTCCAAGAAGGCACCAGGGTGGGTCCACATAGGTAAGAAGGATTTAGGCAAAGGCTCTACCAAGTATAGATTTGAATGATGTCTTGGGTATCTTCATTAGCTAGGGGTATACATGATGAAGGAGTCCTATTTTGGTGCTGTGGGTCAATGCGCCAGACTGCAAAGCCATTTGAACTGCAAAGTCGGCAGTTCAATCTCACCAGCTGCTCCTTGGAAACCCTATACAGGGTCGCTATGGGTCGGAACTGACTCAGCGGCACTTCACAACAACAACAACACATGATGAAAGATGTTTATAAGGAAGAGGATTAATAAAACTTCTCACCTGTGATTTTTCAGATGGAGCCTATCCTGGATGAATGAGGTAAGTCCTTTTCCTTCCCTAGCCCAGGATGAGAAGCACTTGGGTTTCCGTACAAGTCATTGCTGATGAAGAATGGAACAGAGTGGTTGTGCTACTACCTTCTTTCATAGGATATCTGAAACCGACAGACTTTGTGGTCTGTCCTGCCACTTGCCCCAGGGAGCCCTAGCTTATACTATCTGAGGCACTCTTCATTACATAGGTAAGAAAGAGGCTAGAGTTGGTGGGAAAGCATTGAGCAGAATAGCTAAAGGGTGCTAATGACATGTATCTTTCAACTCTAGCTCCAGAGGTCCTGAATGGAGGGCCTTACAACCATGCTACTGATTGGTGGTCCCTGGGTGTCTTGCTTTTCTCTCTAGCAACTGGAAAGGTAACACATTGGGCAGAAAAAATAGAAAAATTTCCCTGTGATGGGGAGAAGGAATGGCCTTCGGAAATCTTTGCCTTATTCCCTCTAAGAAATGATTGCCTTCTCTTTGACTCAGTTCCCAGTGGCTGCAGAGAGAGATCATGTGGCAATGTTGGCAAGTGTGACCCACTGTGACTATCAGATTCCTGCTTCTCTTAATCAAGGGGTCTCACTCCTGTTCCATGAGGTAAGGGTGAACACTACCATTGACTTTTCTTCTTAACTACCAAACCATTCATTCTCTCCATTCCCTATCATTGAAATGATATTTCCCCACCCCTCTAATCAATTTTTTTTGGGGGGGCAGAGGGGCTCCAACTTGACTTAGTTTTAGGTTCACCTCACTACTTGCCCTCTAACCAGCACGTCACATTTCATTCCTGAGTTCCTGGTCCTATGGATTCTGTCACCTACAAATCTCTTCCCCATCTGGAACAGATAGGTCCTTTCTAAGATAGTGGGTCAGTGCTGTCCTCTATCCACTAAAAAACTTCCAAATACAACTCCTATATTCCCACTTTTGCCCCCAATTATCCTGTTTCTCTCTCTTTTACAAATCTACTCTTCAGGGTTTTTCTTCCTACCCTCCATGGCTCCACAGATTGCTTTTTACTTTTCCAGTGTCTGTGTTCAGTTCCTTTCCTATCTCAGTCCCTCATCCTTCATGTTCTATTTCCTTTCAGCTCTTAATGCCAGAATCCCTTCCAATGTCCACACTATCTGCATAATTTCCAGGTCCACCCTTTCTTTCGAGGTATGGCCTTTGACCCAGAACTCCTACAGAAACAACCAACAAACTTTATCTTGGAGGCATAAGCTCCCCAGCCCAGTCCACTGGAATCCATGCCTTTCGAGGACTTTGTGACTTAGAGTCCTTCCTGGTGCACCTTAGCCCTGCTTGGGTTGAGGCACAGCTGGAAACTGCCAACTCAGTATGACCACCTTGATGATCTAGTTTGTTTTTACTTTGTAGTTCCTTACCAATCTGTTATTTAGGCATTGGCCACTGTTCATATATTGGGTATTCTACTCCTGAAAGCCAGGACTTCCCCATCATGTATCCTACTTCTCAGTTCAACATCTCAGGTCAGGTGGTGACCCTTCCTTTGCTTTACTTTTCACTTATTGAGCAATAATGACACTTCATGGGTTCCTGTGGTGTTAACTTAAATGTTTAATAGGCTTGTTAGAGATAGTATGAATATTTTTCAAAGATCTTAAAAGTTGGCATTTAAATTCCTTATTTAGGGGATTAAATAATACTACTAAAAATACGATCTGGGGGATCAAGTCCAGTCTGTAATAAACTTAAGCTGAAGAGATTTAAAAAGTGAATTTAGGAGCTTGAAGGAGTTTTGGTATGGTGCTGTAGAATAAATACTGGACTGTTAACTACGAGGCTGGAGGTTCAAGCCTACCAATCGCTCCTTGGAAACCTTATGTAGGGTTGCTATGAGTCAGAATTGCCTCAATGGCACTTAACAGCAACAATAGCTTAAAGGAAGATGATACGCATTGAAACATTCCAGTCTGCTTATCCTCTCTAGTGGGACTGTCTCAACTTACAAGGTTGTGGATGGGACTCAGGATTCCACCTAAGATCCTATACTCTGTAAAGGCTTTGCATGAGGCCTATTTCACTGGGCAAGTTGTAGAACCCCTTTTAGGTATT